CTGTGCCCTTTTCAGTCACCTCCTGGAGGGTACCCTTCCCCCCCCCCTCCGGTCTCGCCTCTCCCACTGTACCCTTTTCAGTCAACTCCTGGAGGGTACCCTTCCCCCCCCCCCTCCGGTCTCACCTCTCCCACTGTACCCTTCTCCGTCAACTCCTGGAGAGCCGGTGTAGAGTCGTAGAGGAGATTAGCGGCTGTGACAGCGTCCTGCTCTGCCTCCGTGAGCTCGATCTACCCTCTCGACGCAGGGGGATGGACAAAGGGAGAGGGAGGGGGCGGCACGACCACCACGTGAGTCACAACAAGCCATGTTCATCGTCGACACTTGTGCTGGAATCCGCTACCGGCGAGCAAATTCGAGGGCGAAATGAGACGGTATGGCCACGTCGTGATGGGTATGTGGAAGACAACAAAACAGTCACGACAGCAGCACTAGCAGCAGCAGCAACAGCAGCAACAGCAGCAGCTGCAGCATGAAGTTGCCTCGTCACTCGTCACAAGTCACGTGTTTCAGACCTTGAAAGAGGCGAGAAGGGAACGGAGGACGCCCGTGGTGTGTCACGTCGTGCACACCGTGGCAAGTTAAACGGGACATGGCGGTAGACTTGAGATCGTGAGAGAGTAGCAGGGTAATGACAGAAGCACGCCTAGAACCAAGTACATCCCCAACCGTTACAGCAGTGTGCCCTGCCTGCTCTCTGCACCGGCAGGAACAACACGGGGGTGACGGCACCCCTTTGACAAAACTGCGTCATGCTACGGGACCCTCCTTCTTTGGGGATTTGTGGAATCTACTATACTGAATCAGCACAGGAGGACGAGAAAGAAATATCTGGGAAGAGCGTGGAGTCGACCACAACGTCGTCGACAACACCACAAAGAATTTCCAGGAAATAGGCGAAGGGAGTGTATCTCGCGGCAGCACCCAAAACCACACACCTTGCCGGCCTCCGGCAGCTTGAGCGCGGACGCCAGAACTCCGAACAGAGCCACCGTGCCCACGCCAGCTATACCGATCATCTGCTCCATGCCGGAAACTGATTTTGTCGCTGCGGTGGCCTCGTCCGAGTAAGCTAGCAAGAGCTTCGGAAAAAAGAATGACGGCGACAACAACAATGACGACCACGACGGAACACATGAGAAAATACGCAGGTAGGGTCATTGCAGCTGCTTGGTGAATCAAATCGACCACCGCCACCGTCTGTTCGTTTTTCCAAGAGCAACGTGTTTTTTCAGGCTGATCACCGTTTGAACACCCGCAGAAAACGAAAACGCCGACAGACACAAAACACCGACGACGTCGACGACAACAACATCATCATCACCGCACCTGGGCTCCGGCCGAGATGTCTGTCACGTCCGGCATAACCATGGAGGTGCAAGTGCTTTGCCTGCGAAACACAAACCAGAACACGAGGGTCGTCAGAGGGGCCAACGCCATTTGCTGCCTGCCAACGAAGGCGGAACAGGTCTCGACTCCACAAAGCGAAGAGAGATATCTGTCCGGAGCTCAGGTTGAACAGATGGACGAAATCCATCCCGAGGCCTGTACCAAATGTTGCCTGCACTGAACGTGGCCGAAATGCCACAGTAGTCAAATCAATGGCACCTTCGCCGCGGTACAGGAAGTGATCGCGTCGGACCACGAGCCCGTCTTCTGCGTGCTTGGTCTAGAGTCAGAAACGTAAGGTTCGCGTTAGGGCGGCGGTGCCGTGGAACCTAGTGGCAACGTACTGCTGTACATCTCATCCCGAGATTGTGTTGAAAAAAAAAAAAACGGACGCCAATACCCACTCTGCCATGGCCAAGACGCTGGAAATCTGGGTGGCGCAGCATCTTGACAAAGATGGCTGATACGATTGATCCAACTACATGGCTTCATGAGGTGAAGCTGTGTGTTGTTGTCCAAACGACGAACAACTGGTGTTGCTGCGTTCGGTAGAGTGTACCGCTGTATCGTACTCACACCGAGTGGTTCGTCGGACGAACGATTTTAAGTTACATAGGATGTGAGAACCACGCATGATACACCCCATCTGCAGGAGCTTACATAGGCTTGAACAAATTTAAATTTCGTATATCCTATTTTGGGGTGGCAACAATGCCAGCAGTAGTCTATCCTATTTTGGGATGGCAACAGTGCCACCAGTGGTCGGTTGCTGCTCCTCCTCGAGCACCGCCGTTACTGCTGTGACAGCAGTACATCGGCGCCAGCGCAGAACAAACAAAACTCGCTCGCTGCGTGGCCAAATCACAAGGTTGCATGCGTTTTCCTCCAACTCTCGTGCTTGTTCACATAACAGGTAGTGACGTTGCATTGCTTGTGCAACCTTACTAATAGACACGGGAGCTACTACTAAATGCTGTGCCATACGTGAAATACCCAACCTTCGGTCTATCCTATTTTGGGGTGGCAACAGTGCCAGCAGTGGTCGGTTGCTGCTCCTCCTCGAGCACCGCCGTTACTCATGTGACAGCAGTACATCGGCGCCAGCGCAAAACAAAACTCGCTCGCTCTATCCAGAGGAGGACCTACCCAGCACAGCGTTTATAGACCACCGACAGTACTGAATACCATGTACAGAAGTACAAACACCAAGATAGACCGGAGCAGCTTGTGCGAGGGGAGGTTGGTCCCCCAACCTTCTAGTTTTGTACGTGTGGTGCACACTGGTCCTGATGACACATGATACACATGTTTTTCGAAGAGAAAAATGACACAGACAGGCGCCGTCACAAATTATTGACATCGCCCTCCTCACGTTCGGCTTGAAGAGTGAGCATGGTGGTTGACGTGAAAACGCCCGCTAAGCCCGAAGCCAGAGGCGCTGTTCAGCGCAGAAGAAACGGCAAGAACGTGCAGGCACCTCATTGTCTCCCTCTGCTGCTGCTGAATCGTCACTGGGTCCGGGTCGCGTCTGGCTGACAGCAGCGCGACAGCGGCGCGCTTCTTCGCACTTGTTTTTTTCGATGAAAATGCCTATTTTCATTTTTTGGTGGGCCCGATTTGCTTTCCGATTTTTTTTTGGCCCGGTGGAAAAAAACATGAGTACTGGCGGGCGGAGGACGCAATGGATTCATTGCTAATGTATCGCCCCGGTGGTCTAGTTGGTAAGATGGAAACCTGCTAGAGGTCAGGTCAGTGGTTCGGATCCCGGCGTAAGCGAGTTTTTCTTGCAAATTGAGTTTATCTCTCGCTTCCGCTCCTGGCCTAGTGGGTAGTGTGTACACAGAGGGAAGATAGTGCTGAACTCTTCTCGCATTAACAAATCCATCTCTATCCATGGAAATACCTCGAAGATTTTTTTTTTTGGTCTTCACTTCAAATCAGCGCTCACGGCACTATTTAGTGCCGTTTGTTATAGGCTCAAGAATTCTGGCATTATTTTTCTAATCTTCTACGAGAAAAAATGATGAAGACCCGAGACAATATAGATCACATGTAGACGAACCGTACCTCCACTCTTGTGGGTCCTGCCCCTACGATGTCCCTATACGATACTCGAATTCACGACTCAGCCAATCCGGTACGAGAATAGCCTCTTCCAAGCTATCTGAAAACCAC